ACTGTGAGAGGGATCTCGGAGTCCTAGTAGACAATCATTTAAATATGAGCCAGCAGTGTGCTGCAGCTGCCAAAAAAGCCAATACAGTGCTAGGCTGCATTAACAGAGGGATAGAATCAAGATCACGTGAAGTATTAATACCACTCTTCAATGCCTTGGTAAGGCCACCCTTGGAATACTGCATCCAGTTTTGGTCACCACGATGTAAAAAAGATGTTGAGACTCTAGAAAGAGTACAGAGAAGAGCAACAAAGATGATTAGGGGACTGGAGGCTAAAACATATAAGGAATGGTTGCTGGAATTGGTTATGTCTAGTTTAACGAGGAGAAGGACGAGGGGGGACATGATAGCAGTGTTCCAATATCTCAGGGGCTGCCACAAAGAAGAGGGAGTCAAGCTATTCTCCAAAGCGCCTGAAGGCAGGACAAGAAGCAACGGATGGAAACTAATCAAGGAGAGAAGCAACCTAGAACTAAGGAGAAACTTCCTGACAGTTAGAACAATTAACCAGTGGAACAACCTGCCTCTAGAAGCGGTGAATGCTCCAACACTGGAAGTTTTTAAGAAGAAACTGGACAGCCATTTGTCCGAAATGGTATAGGGTTTCCTGCCTGAGTAGGGAGTTGGACTTGATGACCTCCAAGGTCCCTTCCAACTTTATCATCATCATCATCATTATTATTATTAGCAACTCTGAACCACAACTACAACCCACCACCAGTTTTTCTACTTTTTTTTTCTTTTGTTTTTGCCACTGCCCTTGTAGGACAACAGGTTTGCAGGATTACAAATTAATAAATGGAGACCGGATCCCCAGAATTGGAGTTGAGGCCACCTGTGGATAGGAAAATCAATTCCAATTCATCTTTTACATTACAAAATCCAGAATTCATCCAAGTTCAATCAAAATTCCCACTATTATTAAATCTAGCTTAATTTAGACAAACATAAGGGGGGGATCCAAATTTCATTCTATCACTATGTGGGACAAAGGTCATAAATTCTGATCAGAACTACATAAATATGAATATAATTGATTCATTTGATTAAATGGTCCAACTAGCCACAGTATTAGTTGGTTAAATATTGGGTCAAAGCAAAATAAGTTGCTGGATCCATTTGAACTGCTCTACTTGCCAGCTTCATGTGAACATGTTATCCAGCTCAAAAGTTGAACAGATGTCTAGTGCTGCAAAATGATACTTATTAGTTAATAGAAGTGCAGTTTATTGTAAAATGTTGCAATCCTTATAAGCAAAATAAGATAAAAAAAATTAGACAATTGGCACATAAACTAATACAATTCCATGAAAATGTTAATGCAACAAGAAATTAATTCAGTCTGGCATTACTACAGAGGCCAGAGCAAACAAACATATCCTTATGAAATAATTGTCTACGTTCCCTATTGCTGTCTGACAAGCAGCAGAGTATTGATCACAAAAAGGAAAATGAGCCAGTTCAAGCTGCAGTGAGACATAAATACTCTTTTGATGAAAAGAAAACTGTATTGCTTGGATTACAACAGGGGTTCTTAATGCAAATCATCAAACTGGCCATTTTATACCTCTTGCTAAACAAAGATAGATTAAGGTGGACAGGACCATTTTCCCTCCTTGTTTTAAAGCTGGAATGACAGTTACTACAATCCTTATGTGTCAGAAATCAAATGGCACCAGACTGTCTGTAAGAATTTAATATATGATGGACTCTACAATCCATACAAATATATGATGGACTCTACAATCCATACAAATCACCAATAATGTGGCATTTCCAGGAGAAGAAAGCAATAGCTTTATAGTCGATTTTGCATGAGATTCTTTCTGAAAAAAAAAATAGTTCCGATTGATTCCAACTAGAAAACTCAGAGCAGATTCTATTTAGTTTGTTCTCACTTCCGTATCTTGCCCTTTCTCCAAGAATTTAATGGTCAACAATTATTGGACAAAAGAAAATATTTCACATGATTACTTCCTGGAGTTCACTGTCACCAGATGTGGAAATGATCATTAGCTTAAATAGACTTAAAGAAGAAAAATTCATGAACAATGGATCTTTATGTGGATTATGGGACTTACACAATGAGCTAGCAATCTGTCACTGAGTATCAGTTACTACAGAACAGCAGAAGATAACCTGTGCATAAACAGCTTTCAGTTCTTTCCATCTGAAAGGCAGCTATGGGAATAGAAAAATCAGGAGCCTGATACATCTGTTGCCATTATCAAGTTGGAAGATGGTATAGCAACTGTTATAGGAGAAGTTTGTTCCATTAATGAGTATATTTTTTAAAAAGGAAAAACAAATTGCCCCAGATTCAGAGCTGGTTCTAACAATATAGAGAACAAGAAACACAATGTTGACTCGGAATGACAATGTCACATTAGATGACCAATAAAGTTTTGAAGCAAATAAAACATTATTTATGAGTGTTTTATTGCTTATATTGTAACCTATTATATATGATAGACTAATCAGATGCTAGTCATGGTAAAGAATTCACAAATCTTGTGGCAGAAAGGAAAAGAAAATTGTTTTTCCTGGCCCCATTCATGTGGATTGCATTAATTGCTTATGTCTGATAAAATGGATGATTTATTATTGGAGAAGAGAACTGTGCCCCACACAAAATGTTACTAAAAACAAAACTCAGTTCTGATTTTTGTTTACTTCCTTTCATCTCATTATATTACAATATTAGGGTAATATATTACTGGGCCCTGAATGGATGCAACCAGGACTTTTTTTGTCATAGAACGCCCAGAACGGAGTTCCGGCACCTCTTTTGGATGGAACCTTGTAGGGTAGGCAAGGCAGGTTGTATGATGTGTGTGAGTTCCGGCACCTTTTTTTTTTTTTTTTTTTTTTACAAAAAAAGCACTGGATGCAACTGAAGAAGTAAGTGATATTAGAATTAATTTCTATGCTAATTACTATGAGTGAATTGCATAAAATTAATACTGTAACATAATAATAGCCCCAACAAGTTTCCAGATTTATACAACAGAGAAAGCATCACTTTTGACTTGTATATTCTGAAGCTAGACAACCCTGAACCTCAGGATTTTTCTAAAAATCATCAATTATAACTGTTTTATTATGACTTTACTCAAATGCTACTAAGTGAAAGGCATGTGTTCTCATTACATATTGTATATTCTCTTCCATCACTACATTTCCCATCATGCATTAAAAGTGCACAGATGGAGAGAGAAGAGTTTGAATAGCAATGGTCATTGTTGGCATTTTTCTTCCAACTGCTTGTCTTTCTAATTTCTAATATCTCTTTCTTCTCAGTTTCCTTTTTCTTCCTACACCAGAACTAAAAAATTTAAGAAAACAAAATCCAAGGTGGAACAATTTAAATCTGTAACATAGCTGTCCTCAAAATCCCTATTTTTTTATTTGTATGACCAATATAGATTAACCGTAATTAATGCTAAAGCCCTGGTTTGAAATATTAAACTATTATACACAACAATTCAAACAGCCTGTAGAAGAGTCTGAGCCCATGGGAGGGGGTCAAATACATCATCAGTCATGAGTCCCTGCACGCCCACAAGAGATCTAAGACTATAAGTCCAGTCTACCTTGAATTTCTTGTTAAATCCCACTAATTTCCCTTGATTGTTAGTAGTTCAGATTCTGGAGAAACCTTAACCTTGCAATAAATCCTTATACTCACTTGAACTGCTTGAATCTCCTGATTTCCCTGGTGCTTGACAGCCATAATGAACCAAATAAATGATATATCTGTAAATAGGTGCTTAGATTGGACAGTTAATCTGATATTGCAAAGCTATATTTGGCTCCCAGTAACTTTGGATGGGGCCTCAAGAATCTCTCCAAAAGTTAGCATTGAATTGCAGTTTTCAATATGAATAGAGAGTAATCCATTTAACTGAATATAATTAATGTGATTTATGTTCAATTAAAATTAATCAAAAATCCATTTCTTTGACCTCTCTCCATCTATTTTTTGAAATATGATTGGCAGGTGCCAGTGAACTGCTGAGTATAAACCTCAACCTGCAAATATATTATGTACTCCTGTGACAATAATTTTCCAGGATATCTGCTTATAATAAGGCATTCCATAGACGGGGACGGAGAGTCAATCTGCCTTTTCAGTTTAATGTTTATTGCAGGCAATGACTGGTTAATACAACAAAACAAAAATTACACAAACTACCTGACAAATTAAAATATGCAGCATGCTATCATGCTAGAAGAAATGGGATGGAATATAAGCAATTTTAAATATATCACCTGGCCATGATTTGAAGTTAAGTTGTTAATATTATCATTAAATAAAAATAATATTGCTTACCTAGTTTGGGGAGACGGGGGGGGGGATAGAGAAAGAGCCAAAGACATCCACACTCCACAGAGAGGAAACTCTATGGATTACTCTTCTCAAAGAAAAAAGGTAAAACATATTTTACTGAAAACGAAATCGAATTTTATGGTATTTGAGAAGACAAGACAATGTGAACCATCAGATTTAGCTTAGCCATATTCTAAAATATAGTTGCAAAAAACATAAAGTACAGCCAAGAAATTTAATTTTATCTAAATATCCTATAAGGAATAAAGTGCTTACCACTGTTTCTGCCTATCATAATGAATCTGCTATTCTATTGACATATGCTATAAATTTAATGCAATATTGTGGTTTAGATGTCTCTTTTGATAAATTTCAGTGAAAATCTGTGCTAAGAAGAGTTGAGCTGTTTCACTAGTTAAGGAGTTTGAAAGGCAGAGAGAGGAAAGGAAAGATGATAATTAAAACAATGTTCATGCAAATCCATGCCATAAAAGTTTCTGGGGCTCATTGCCTGGTTGTTTTGGACGTTAAAAGAATTTGAGTAGTTCTTGATCCTATTATACAAAAAAAAAGTTTATCTTGGTTTCTCTCAATCTTTTCTTTGTTAACTCCAATGTCTTAGATCTTGATCTGTGCTTGTCTGACTTTCTATCTGTTCTTGTATTGTAGGCATATTGGAAATAACATCTGTGGAAATTGGAGTGGTGGCTGTTAAATCCATTAACAGCAATTATTATCTTGCCATGAATAAGAATGGCAAAGTCTATGGATCTGTAAGTATATTTCACTTGAGTTCAAATTCACCCAGTGAGCTTCTATACCTACAGGACTTGCAAGACAAGCAGGGAGCAAACCCTACTAATGATGTTACTATAGTTCCATTGTCAGACAATGCTCTTCAGACTGATTGGAAGAAGCTCATGAGTGAAACATAGATCTTCCACATCCAAAGAAAATGCTTTTCAATTACTTATATGCCGTTACTTCAAACTGTTGTTACCCCTTTCCCTAACGGACTGGGAATAACTCTCTATAGCTCAGAAACATAGAACATTTTTTTATAGGTTGCTTTTACCTGGGGTAGCATTAAACTAATGTTTATAGTTCCAATAAATGTTTTTCATTTTTTCTTGGATTAAATGGCCCCAAATAGCAGTATTTAAACTTTACTCTGTCCATAAAAATAAATTCTGCTCTGACAGCCATGTTTCAAAGTTATAAATATTGTGGATATGCAGCTATGTCTATCTATCTATATATTACTAAAACCTGTAATCTTTAACTGGTTGAAATAGGGCAACAATTTTTGAACCAAGGTTCCTTAAGTGGATAACTTACAGAATGTATCCAAAATCCAGGAGTCATGACTCCCATGAAATGGAAATTTGGCAAATTTTATAAAACATTTTATGAATAAAAATTATCAAAAAGAGTTTATAACATAATAAAAAAATGTCATAAAACATTTCCTCTGCTAATGTTTGTGCTATGCAGTTCAACATGGGCTACTTTCAAGACAGGTACATCTCTGGAGAATGGGACAACTTACCGTAGCCAACTTCCCACGGCCAATTTGCCATGACCAACTCACCACAGAACAAGTCCCTGTGGGACAATTCAACAATTCAATTTAATTATTTAAAATAATTTAAAAAATATTTTAATTTTTGTCATTCACATTTTATTCTTCCCTCCTTTGGCATTTCTTCAATGATGTTATTGGACTATTTCTTTGATATATTAGTGTAACTCTTGTTCTGTGGTGAGTTGTTCCACAGAAAGTTGGCAGTGGTGAATTGGCTGTGGCGAATTGTCCGTGGGAGTTGTCATAGACCCACGTCTCCGAATGTATCCCAACTTTTCCAGGAAAAGCAGTACATTGTCACTGTTGAAGACATTGAGGAATCTGATAAGGAAATATCTCTGAAAAGATGACACAAGAATGACAGGTTGTCTAGGTTAATAATAAAAAAATGTTAAAACCCATAAAAGAAAATTCAAGTACATATTTAGCTTTTCTCTATCTAATTTTTTATCCTTTTATCAAGCTTACCCTGATATTGATAATGATATTGATTATATGATTGATGCAACATTTGGATTTAGAGACAGTTATATAGCTTACAAATGTCTGTTATCCTGGGAAATGTTTAAAAAGGTAAACGAACAAATCAGATTCACAGATCTATTATTTTATCCCCTTCTATATTAGAATATATTTAATTGAAACCCACAATACCCCAAAATTCATTCCATTCCAATTTTATCAGACATTTTTCTTCTGGGAATTTGTCAAATCATCTGATTTTTATAGGCTTTGAAATCCAATAAATCCAGAGGATGCCAGAGTGGAGAAAAAACTAATATACAATGTATAAAATATTTGTTCATATTTAGTTTAGATCTTCTAATAAAAGCAGAGTCACTGATTTTTCTGCAACTTTATAAATATGAATAATGTCTTAACTGATGTTGCACATGTACAACTTTCACAATGACAGGATCCAATAAATCATGTTTAGCATTTATATAATTCATTATATTAATAGTCCTTAGCAGCCTTTATAAATTAATTTGCATTATTATGCTCATCTGCCAAACTCGGTACAGCAGATTTGAGGCTAAAAGATAATTTTCTAAAGCTACTTGCTAAATTTATGGCAGAAGCAATATATTTATAAAGCAGAGTAGACTGATGACTTTTATTTTTGCATTTTATTTTATCTATGATATAAAAATTGAAAATGTCCCAAAGATGGGAAGTATCACATGATTAATTTAATTAATTTGTTGCTGCAGTAGTCAACATCTACCTGATGAGTCTAAGGAACTCCAAAATTATTTTTTTAAAAAATGAAATCTCTTAAGATCATTCAGTGTTATAGAAATGTTGGTGATTTTGCATGAAGTCTTGCAAGATTTCTGAATTCTCATATGATATCAAATTATATAAATATTATGGGAAATGAGCAAAAAAATAAAAATGACAGGAGAAATTGCATGGTGAAACTGTTTTGTATGCATGAGATATATATTAAAAGGGAATGAGGCCTACCATCTTGACTTTTCTTAACTTCACCCCAAAAAAACTCCATCATATAAAATATTATAAGTGAGATTAGCAAGCTTCTTAAGATTTGACTGTCCATAAGATTTTGACCATTTTAATTTGTGTGGAGGAAATGGACCTGTACAGATAAATCTGAATATATTTGTAGAAATTAAACATTCTAAGAAAAACAATTTTCATTTGGAAGGGGTAGCTATGTCACATTTATAAATCTTCTAAATAAATAATAATTTACTTCTTTTGGTTTAATTTTAATTTACATTCAAAGATAAATAATGTTTCATATTTATTTAAAATAACTTTTAGTATTCTAACTATATGGTTTGAGCCATTTAAAAAGACTATGTACCATCACAAAAATAGTGATTCATTTATGCAGCAACTTGGTTACAGAATTTCTACACAAAGGGAGTGTTTTATGGGTTTGGTTTTTCTTTGAAAGTAGGTTCCTTAGTTAAACCACTTCAGCAAGTCTTTCTGGGAGTGATAAGCAGCATGACAATACTTTTATAAGTGAAACAATAAATGTAATAGATTAATCTGATTACTTGACTAGTCTGAAATTCTAGAAGGAAGGCTGTGTCCCATAACAGTCAAAGCCCCTTAATATAGAAGTCAAAAATATTATACTTGAAATGTTATTGCATTCCCCTAGTGTTCTTATAAACTTACCAGAGATTTAATTATTCTTTTTCCACAACCAAACAAGGAAATGCTGCTAAAAATATTTGTTTTTTTCCAGAGGTCATCATGATTGCTTAGATCCACCCTGATCTCATCTGCTATGATTGTCTAGAACTGAAATCAAAATACAGCTTTAGTTTGTAAACTACTTTCCTACTTAGGATTCTGGTTTACATAATATTCTGTATAAAATCAATAATTATGTCAGAAAGACTTCTGCAAAAGTTAAGATTCCTACTAAGACTTTCTAGGGTGGTTACAGAGTGATATGATAGAGCACTCTGGCTTTTAAAAGCTGATAGATACTCAAAATAGCGTCAATAATTTTTTCTTTAATTATTTTTCAACACAGCTTTTTTTTAAAGAAGGAGTATATGCACTAGTATTCATGATAAATACAGTCAAAGTTGTGTTTCCGATATTTATCATCTTTTCTCTTGAGAAGGAAGATAGAGATAGAGTAATGCCATTTCTAGAGATGAAAACAAGAATAGCAAAAACAACAAAACTACTTTTGAAAAATGAAATTAAATTTGTTTTAAATCCATACATACAGTAGTTCATGGTAGAACTTGTTTCCTAGATAATTGAATCAATTACCAAAACTTCTGAAATATATTTCAGAGCCAAGCTTTAAACTAAACATGATGCCAAATGAATCAATAGAAAGCCCTTGTGTTTGTTTGTTTATTTGTTTTTAAAGTAATAAGAAATAAAGAGGAAATTTTAATTAGAATTGCAAGGGATGGAATTTTAGTTGAAATCGACCAGATATACATCCCCCATATATTAATGCATAACTGTAAGAGATAGTTGTAAATCAGATTATGGATTCTGGAATTTGGAAACCAGATAATTCCAGGATTGTACTCTTAAACATAATTTAAAAGTGCTTAATGCTTTAGAGCAGACATGTCAAACTTGCGACGTCACGTGATGTCGTGTGATGTATCAGAACTTTTTCCCCATTGCCAGCAATGGGGTGGGCACGGTTTCCTCGTGATGCTTCCAGCCCGTGGACTGGCAGTTTGACACCCTTGTTTTAGAGAAACATTGTATTTGATTTGTCCTTCACTAGGTCATCTCACAAGTCAATCAGTTCACTAATTCTATATACTATTTCTCTTATTTGGAAAATTGCTAATTCAGACTTACCTCAATGTCGTTAGAACCCTTCTTTTTTCTTTCTCAGTTCTTCCATCCTTTCCGTCCATAATCAACAACCACTTTTATTCCTAATTTCCAGATTCCCAATTATTTGAAAAAGTATAAAGCATAACTTTAATAAATGTAGGGTCTAAATGGATATTAAACCCTATGATAAAAGTAAGGTTCAGATTGAGAACAATCTGAAGAACAATCACACCTGTGCTTTTTTCATTATTTTTGAAGAGTTTTAACTTGCCTACTTTTAAAAGTGGCTTAAGAGCTTAGTATGTTTATTGTGCATGCTAAAAAGCAAGCATAAAATATGTGAAGAGAGAGAAAGAGATTAGTGATGTTTCTCATTACAAAAATAAAAGCATTTCCATATTTGTTATTCAAGGAGCACAGTTTGGGATTAACCTTGCACGTCACCTTCTCTCTCTCTCTCTCTCTCTCTCTCTCTCTCTCTCTCTCTCTCTCTCTCTCTCTCTCTCTCTCTCTCCCTCTCCCTCTCCCTCTCCCTCTCCCTCTCCTTCCCTCTCTGAATGCTATCCATTTTGCATGTTCATCTGCTACAGGTCTTAGTCCACCTATCTACAGTGATGTTAATTGTGATCAACAGACATTTAAGGTTGCCTGATCTTGCTCTAAATCAAGCAAAACATTCAAGCTAAATACTGAACATGTCGAAGAACTAGATCTATGAAATTCTGCCTCTACATTCCAGGCAAATGTGCCATGAGTTTGCATACATTTTACTTTGATCTTCTTTGGCACATAGATGATATGGTTGCTGCTGCTGTTTCTGCAGCACAATGAGGCTGTATGCTGCAACACTAATGTTTGAAACTAAGTGGCTAGGCAAATAATCCTATTCTAACATGTGCACTGCTTATTTGTCATATCTGTTTATCAAGCAAGAATTATACAAACAAGGGAGAAGAGGAAATGTCCAAGAAATGTTTATTGTAAGTTTTGAAAGTTGGGTCTGAAGATCCCTTTTCAGAGGCAAAAAAAATTACCATTTATGGGCAATAGCCACTCTGGCAAACAGGATATTTGACCTTTAAAGTGGACCTTTTGGTCTGAAGCATGTTGGGCCATAAAATAAATGTTTGCTTGGATACTTTGATGACCATCTCTATCTCTGTGCTTTTGGCATCTACCCTGTGGTTCAAGCCTTAATGGTGCCTGGAGGGACACAATCCTACAGAAAGGATAGCCTCCCTATGTATAAAAATCAGTTCTAAACTGATTCTCAGGCTTGAGCAGGGGCTGGATCAGAAGACCTCCAAGGTCCTATTCTATTCTGTTCTGTTCTATTCTATTCTTACCCTGAAGTTATACATTTCTTTTGATTGTACTTAGTGGTCTTCACTCCTCACCTTCTGATATTGTCTGTGTTTTTGTCTGCTGTGTTTTTTTCTCTTTTCATACAGAAAGAGTTTAACAACGATTGCAAACTAAAGGAGAGGATAGAAGAAAATGGATACAATACATATGCCTCATTCTCCTGGAAAAATAATGGAAAGCAAATGTTTGTGGCTTTGAATGGAAAAGGCGGGACAAGGAAAGGACAGAGGACCAGGAGGAAAAACACTACTGCTCATTTTCTTCCCATGGTAGTTGACACACAGATAAAGGACCTCTTCTACTGATAGCAGCTGAACCAAAGATTTTGTCACAAATACTTTGTACTCCTCTCAAAAGGCAAAGGCAAAAACAGAGCAGATGTCTGCTTGACAGAAAAGGGGAAGTTTCTCTGCTCTGTTGAATTATGAGTACCTCTAATTAGTTACGTGTCATATCCTATAATCAAGACACAAGCTGGATCAAATGAGAACAGAGCTTTTTCCAGTGCAAGGAAATTATGATTATTATTTTTTATCTTGCCGATAGAACTGAAAGGATATGAGACAATATATGGGGAAAGTTGGGGAAAGTTATTTATGGAATACTAACTCAAATCAAAGAACTTCATTCAAGCCTAATGATCCAATGAACAGTTAAGCATTTACTGTAAGCACATGGGTCATATGCAGAAAAAAGAAAAGATTTTGGAATGGTCTCATATGGAAGAGATGAATAGGATTAAGAAATATAAGCATATTAAAATTGTTCTAACAAAATAAATAATATTTTCCCCATCTCTTTGTATGCTAATGCCATGCCTTTGTATTTCTCCCTAAGTTATTTATTTAATAGGATGTTAAATATCTTTCTTCTCTTTTTTTTTTTTTTGATTGTTTGAAGGATTTTCTTAGTTGCTTCCTCTTGCATAATGGCTCTTTTCCTGCTGTCTATATTCTTTGCAAGATTGACAAAGTCAAACCTTGAAACCTTGCCCAAATTTCCATAAATACAGAACAACACAAAAGAAAAACATAGGATTATAAATTGTGTTCAGTTGCGTTTTCCCCTTTTTCCCCTCTTGAAACTTATTTTTTAAGATTTGCACTTAAAATCAACAGGATCAGAAATGAATGGAAATGACAACAGGATCTGTGTGTATTTTAGCAGTATCCTTGATTACTGCTTCCCTCACGGATCCAAAACTTCCTATACTACATCATCAGAAGAGTTTTGCTGCTGTTTTGAAATGGGCAGAATTTATTTGGATACTCAAATGTCATTTAATGCCTGACCTCAAAGGTATTGAAACTGAATCATAATTATTCTCTTTTTTAATTGAGGCATAACTATGACCATATGTTATACCAGTGTTTTTTAACCTCAGCCACTTTAAAATGTGTGGACCTTAATTCCCAGAATTCAACTCTGGGAGTTGAAGTCCACACATCTTAAATGTGGATGAGGATGAGAAAGGCTCTCTATACTAATGCAATGTCTTTTCAGAAAGACATTGAATTAAGTCTATTGAGCTGATAACATCTGAGCAGATATTCCTTTACATCGCCACATCCAAAAAAGTAAAAAGAAAAAGCCATTCCTTTGACTGCAGCCTACTTCAGAAAATAGCCCTGAAATACTTGGTGTTGAAAATTGCATCTTCAATCTAAATAAAAGTCAATTCAGGATAGTTTCAATATTACATAAGAATTGCAGAAGAGAAAGAAAATTGCATTTCATTTACGCTATCAAACCCAATGCAAAAGCATATTCCATAAACTCTTGAAGAGATGTCTTTCTTTCAGAATGTGCCACCTCTTTGCAGGAAAATGTACACTTTCCTGTAATGACTGGAACCATGTGCTATCCATGCTGCTCCTCTGTAGCTGTTTAATGTTTTTGAGCATATCAGTTTAAGATCCCTATACTTGGTTCTCTTAAAATCTTACTGTTACAAATGGGAATAATACCTTAATTGAAGAATAAAGAATTGGCTGAGCATTGGATATGAGCATCCACCTTTACTTAGGTGTGCTGTATTCCTGGGAACCTTGATTTTAAAAGTTTTAGAAGTAGTATCTCAATTGATGACACTGAAAAACTTTCCACGCAAAATGTAAAAGACTAATGGAAGAATATCAGGATCATATTGATCAAAACAAGTGATTGTTCCCTTTTTATTTGGGTCATTATTTGTTGTTAATTTCTAATGCAAGGGTGGATAATCCATGAATCACATATTCCTATGCTCCATGTTCCTTTTGTACAATTTCTGGAGCTTTTAGGGCAAAACTACCAAACAATTGCAATGTAGTTACCACCACAATCCTGCGACATAAACTCTCAGCCATGGACCACCAATAAAAGTGGGTTCAAAAACAAAAGAAAGGTCCAAATCTCGCTCCAACTCTTCTGCGACATCATTTCAATCTTGGCCTACCCACTGCATCCCTTGGCCACTAGGAGAACAATAATTAGGCATGGCTTCCTAAGCTAAGAAAGTGACCACTCCTACTTTAATGTTTAGAGGCTAGGGTTTTTTTTGTTTTTGTTTTTTTGTTTTTGCATTATATATTCAAATAAGTAATCCTAGCTCCAACTCCTGTGGATTGAGGGTGTATGATCTAGAAAAGGCTTCACAATGTGATATGTTGTCAATGTGAGCCCCAGAGGGAAAGAAATGCCTTGTCATCTTGGGGTGAATATTTAAGTTCCAAAATGGACAGTGATGATCATATAGCCATTTCTGGCCATTTTAGCATAGTCTGCTATAACTATATTGATGAAAATGGATCTGGTATAAATTATTTGAGGATTGCAGCCACTATTTTTCTTATGTGTGTATATAACTCTTAAGAGCCAATCTACAAGCAACATCTTTCTTCATCTATCAAAATATATGCAATGGTTCTAAGGTGTAATATTGGACATAACTTTAATGGAGGTTTTTTTTTCTTCATAGCTTACACTGAGTAATGCAGTCTTCAGTTAAACATAATATCAACTTCTTTCAGTCTGAAAAAACCTGTATGAGTTTTGTCTGTTTGTTTTATTTTTTTCTCTTTAACATTAGAGAACTATGGATCAATATAACCATAACAAGATTCATTTTTATTAGAGCAAGTTAAGTAGAAACTGTACATCCAACCAGCATGTAGCACTCTCTTCACAGTGTATCCCACTAAATAAATGAAGAAATGCTTATGTCTTTTTTGCAGTGTCTATAGTGAAGAGCAAATGTAGTTTGTTATTTAATTAATATTAATATTCAAAATACATTAAGGGACTAAGTGTATTGATACTGCAGCGTTTTTTTCTTTAGTATTTTTTTTCTCACAAAAAGAATGGGTTTAAATTGTAGTTTGGTACAGATGCTTTACAAATAGGGTCCTTTTTGAAATAATCATAACTGTACAGTGTTGATCATGTTGGTGATCTTTACTGTGCTCCTCTCCATTCTCCAATTCCCTGGAAAATCAGCTAGAACTATCCAGTGGGGAAGTTATTCCAGAGTATAATTTAGATTGGTATAAAGTTTATATAGGTAGTCCTTAAGTTATGACCATAATGTAGCCTGCCCATCATGATGGTAATTCATGATGGTTGTAAAATGTGACTGACCTGATTTTATTACATTTCTTATGGATGTCGATAAGCAAATCTGTGATTGTTAAGTGAATACTGCAGGTGCTATGGGCGTGGTTTTGCCAGAAACTGAAAGTAAATGCTAGTTTTTGCAAAAAAAGTTGTAAAATGCAGTGATGTGACTGCAAATAGACAAAAATGCAGCCTGGTTGCCAAATGCCCATAGTGAGGTCACGTGACTGGGGATGAAGGGACCACTGTCAGAGCTTCAAATCCAATAAGAACCCCCAGTTAGATCCATCAGAATTTCAAATGGTCACTAAGTCTTCAAATGGTCTACTACTACCTGTAGAACAAGGAAAATTCATCCATAATAAATATAATATATAATACAATATAATAAACACAGTACAATACATTTCCTGTGATCTGGCATAGTACAGCGCCTGTACTATATCATATTATTCTCATCTCAACCTCATCTTTTATCTATTATACAATATTATTTGAAGGATTTTTTTTTTTTAAAAAAATTGTTCTGTGGAGCCCATTTGCCAGCTTTCCCCAACCTAAGTGCATTCTGGAAAAATAGATTTCAAATCCCAGGATTCTTCACCAGCCTGTTTGTGTCTGGGAAATCTCAAAATCGAATCTGACTAGAGATCACTGTGTGTGGGGAGGGGTGGGGGTGGGGGAAAGATTGCCCTATGTCAATCATCCTTATTTAGACATGACACCTACCCTCATGTATTTGGCCTTGCAAAATGTTCAGACTGCAGTTGCTTAGCCTTAAATACAGCGTGCTTTGCCTGGGTGTTCCCTTATGCAAGCCCCCCAAGAAACATGAGATGGTGGAATAATTGTCTTGCACAGCTCCCCCTGCTTTTCACTAGATGTTGCCGACTGACTTCTGCTTCAAATCACGTGGGCAAAACAGTATTTGGCACAAGGCACCTTTTCCTGCCTGATATAGTGAAATGCAGCTCTCAGAAGACTGAGAGTTACACCAGACTGGGAAAGGCTGGGCTAAAGTATCTCTTTTTTTTCTTGTGGTTGAACAAAAATGCTATATGTAAAACTACCAATACGTAGTTCAATTTGGAGATGATGCATAATGAAAGGCTTGTCCTATTAGGAAAAAGCTTTCCTTGTGTTACCTTTGTTGTTTTGTTTTCAAAGTGATAATTGCAACTGACAAGGCATGATGGACCACCCACAACAAAAAAATGTTTGGTTGACAAAGAAAGGATTGGATGACCACTCTTCAGAAGAGTCGATATGGTACAAACAAGGTTTTCATGTCACAGAACGATTAGCATTGGTTTGGGGTCTTGGGGAAGGGAAGAAGTGTAAACATTCATAATTACAGGACTTCAAAACTTTGTAGAAAAGCTTCTTTTGGAAAAAAAGATTGGATATAAAAATATTTATTAATAAAACATAAAAGTTAAGGTGAACAGATGTAAAGATATATAAAGTGGGAGGTTAGCAATGTTGCTCTCCTTATAATAATGTCTATACTTTTCTTTCCAAATGTCTTTGATGTTTATTAGAGAAAAAAAAAGAATCATTTTTTTCTGGTTTCAATTTGCTTTTACTGTGCAGAATATAACAAAGTCCCTAATAAATTGAGCTATTGATATATTTTTCTGAAAGGAAAATATTTTTTTTTCCTCTCTCTTAAATCATTTGCCTCTAAAATGAGAATTACGTGTGCTGAAAATACAGTACATTAACGAAAGCAGATTTTTAGAACTTGGGAGTTTGAATTCAGAGTCATCCTTCTTTTGAACAGGTAAAGTAATTGAAAAGGTTGAAAATAAGGTAATTTGGTGGGGGAAAACTGAGAAGGAATGACTACATGTATTCACAGTCTACTTAGGTAGGTTTTTGAAAGACCTCTCAGCAGAGGTTCACAGCTGTTTCACTGATCATTGAGCTTAAAAAAAAATTTTAAAAAATCCTGCAGAGGTAATGTGCTTTGGTGCCCACTGTAGCAGTTCTTTGCTGAAACTGGGTTTTTCAGGAGTAATATTGTTCTACCAGAAATGGTACTTGTACAAGGAACTTCTCAATGTGAAATATTGTTTGAAATGAATCCAAGCACTGATATGATTTCCATCCATTTTAAAGGGACTTGTGCTAGAGAATTCTTGGGTAGATGTAAAGTATCTTTCTGTATCCATCATAAACCTGAGACAATCTGATCATAATTTTTAAAAAGGATGTGCACGGTATGTGTGTTATTGTGGTTATTGTTGTTTTTTTAAAAAAATAGGTTGAACATGTACAGTATATTTAATTAATAAAAGTAAAAAATAACTACAGTTCTGAGAATAAAGACTGATTTCTTCTTTGTTCAATTATCCTCAAAATATGAAGTGAGAAATGATTTTTTTAAAAAAATTGACACTGAAATTTTGAAGAAAAATGGCAAATTTGATAACCTCTATGTGACTTTTAAAAAATCAAATCATCAAAATACCTGGCTGTTATTAGCGTATTAGCACCAACAAATGGTATCCATCTATATCTGTCTTCCACACTTGACCTGGCAGATGGACATAAATAAGGCCGCCTTTTTTCATCATACAGATAGTCCTCGACTTACAACCACAATTGATGCTAAGTAAGTTGCTAAGTGAGAAATTTGTTAAGTGAGTTTTGCCCCATTTTACAACTTTTCTTACCACATTTGTTAAATTGGTAACCTCGTTGTTAAGTGAATCTGGTTTTCCCATTGACTTTGTTTATCAGAAGGTCACAAAAAGGCATCACATGACCCCAAGACAATACAACCGTCAGAAAGATGAACCAATTATCAAGTATTCAAATGTAAATCATGTGACCACAGGGATGCTGCAATGGTTATAAATGTGAAAAATAGTCATAAGTCACTTTTTTCAGTGCTGTTGTAACTTTGAACAGTCACTAAACAAATTGCGCTAAGTCGAGGACTACCTGTAGCTTAGAACAATGCTCTCAACCTTAGCAATTTTAAGCTGTGTGGACTTCAACTTTCAGAATTCTCCAGCCAGCATTGTGGCAGCATGCATGAAATACTAAGAGTTGCAGCCCACACATCTTAAAGTTGCCCAGGTTAAGAAACTCTAGAAGAGGCATGTCAAACCTGCAATGTCACGTGACGTTACATGACATATCGTGACTTTTGCCCCGTTGCTGGCAATGGAATGGGTGCGGTTTTGGCATGACACATCCGGCCTGTGGGTGGGCAGTTTGACATCCCTGCTCTAGAACAAATCAAATTGGGTAACACATGATGTAATTCAGCTCTTACACCTGAATCAACTAGGGTTCTGGGCATGTAGGCTCTCTTCTGAAGAGTTTTGTGTCATGATCACAAAACAGATACACCATCAGTTCAAAGTAGTGTTTTCAAGACTGAGAATTTGATAGGGTTTCATGAGAAACTAAGAGGGAAAAAGTTCAACCATATTCTGTCACTAGAATTTGCGTAGACCTATTCAAATACCTATCTTTCCACAATGCAGTAGTGCAGTTACATTATGACACTGTAATATTCTAAATTGTAGAGCCATTCAGCAACTATATATGAAAAACAAATAATGTGCTGCAGTGCAAAAGAAAGGTATTTCCTGGTTCCTTTAGAAACAAGATTCACCTGTGAATCAACCAAATGATGGTTTGCATTAAGAAACAGGAATGAAAAGAACATGCTCCCACCTGACAATGGAACTCTTTCTTCCATTTGTGAAAGTGCTACAATTTAATATCCTGGAAAGTCTTTGCACAGAGAGAGAACCTTGAAAAATGTTCAATAGGACACTACTTGGACATCTGCCCTTGCTTCCTTCCTATACGGATGAGATCAAATAGTATATAAACCAGCTCACTTTGCCTCTGATGATAACATTAGTGCTGCTTGTAAGAAAGAGCAGAATAAATGTGGTTCAACTGGATGTGAGAAATGAAGCAGAGAGATAGTAATTGGGTTCATGTGTGTATGTGCATGTCCATATAGCCCAGGAGCTGTTCCAATGGGTCCTAGCTTCAGATCACTGCAATAACTTCAATAAATGCAACCCATAAAAGATTTGCTAATAAAATGGCCTCATAAGGTCTATGCCAGAGAATCCATGGCTTTCCAGCTGCTGTTGAACCACAATTAGTAGCATTTTGAAAGAGGCTATTGGAAACTGTCATTCATAAAAAGTAGAGAACAACAAATAGATGAGCTCTAATCCACACTATATGAGGCTGAGTCAACTGGATTTAGTCAGGTGTTCCTCTATCTTCTTAACTGGTTCATTCATGCAAACTATGTGATCTTTCAGTAAATGCTTGACTTTTCCTCAGAAGTCAACTGAGTTCATCAAGAACAGGCCTTCTAGTGGCCATGATTGATTAGTAAATCAGCCTAATCTTGAGAGTATTATCTCATCCATCCTTATTTATCTTGGTGAAGTAAGACTTCATCAATTCTTGTGGATGGGATTCTGTGCTCTCCTTTGGCCAAAAGTTAGGGTTTAATAAGCTGGCTAAATGCCTATTACCGTATGTTGTATTACTGAGTTCATTAATTTCAAACAAGAGGCAGGCCAAAATCCTGACAATAGCTATTGGTTCTCCACCCAATGTAACGAATATCAATGATAATATATAGCTTTGTCACATGATTTTGAAGATTTAAATATGGATTGCTTACTATACTGTCCCAATTTAGTGTTACAGACCCTACATTCACATACAAACTGATGCTCCCCAGATGATAAAAATGCAGTTTTATTTCCCCGCAAACTACTTAGAGGATTCTTTCTCTCGATAAACTTATTTCCAAGGAATTTAACTTAAATCTTTAGTATTACATTATAAATGGATTCTTGTTAAATCTGAATCCCATAAGTAGGGAAAGGGGCAAAATGTTACATTTTAATATATCATGCACTGGGTTCAGAGGCTATGAAATAATAAAAGAACCAGATGTTTGTAAGAAAGAGCTCATGCAGTAGAAGGTAGGATGTTAAATCTTTCACGGTGCTTTATTTCTCCACTGAGACAAGATCTTTGGCACGCTTATTAAGTATGACTCATATCTGACAGTTATCTTGAAAAGACACTCAAGGTGAAACACAATCACTAAGACAAAGACCACTTTATTATTTTCTAACTGTTCCAGTTAGCAAATGTGATTTTTGTTGTCTGCTTATTCAGTTTTTTGTACTGATTTGATTTTGACTTGTTTGACATCTCTTGCCTTGACATTAGAATGTTTGATCAAAAATGGAAGATATGATAGTTTTGGCAATAGTTTCTCAGAAGTGGGTAATTCTTCTGCAGTTCTCTTCATTAACTTCCATTTCAATTGTGGCATTTCCTTCTTTTTCTTCTTTCTTTTCCTAGTGCTCATTTTGGTAGGAAAGTTCCCTGTCTGTGTTTCTTATCTAGAGTGAAAAAAATCTGAACAAATATCAAACTCAATTGGGTCAATCTGGAGATTGCATTTTCTGATCCATCTTGCCAAACTTTAATCAATTTTCTGTTTGTCAATTATCTGTCTTTCCTAATATATAGTAGAACCATCAGGTGGCATAGAATTTAAGTACTCAAGGAACTGCAAGCTAAGACTTGTTTTGAAAAATAAATAATGTTATACCTATTTTTAAGGAAACACAGGCCATTCATA